CTTTATTTCAATTTGATCTCCGCAAGAAGATTAGATGATGAAGGTTACCATAATACCCTCTTTAATGGTCAATGGAAGCTCATCAAGGGCTCATTAGTAGTGGCTCGAGGAGTCAAGTATGGTCATTTATATGTGACATAGGGCTCTATTCTTAATTACTCCATAAATTTGTGGAAAGTGACACTTTATCAGAATTGTGGCATAGAAGATTGAGTCATATGAGTGAGAGGGACATTGCGTGTTTGGCTAAGAAAAGTTTGCTTCCTGGAGTGAAATAAGCAAAGCTGAAAAGGTGTATCCATTGTTTAGCTAGCAAACAGAAAAGGGTTTCCTTTCATAGCCATTCTCTCTCAAGAAAACTCTATTTATTAGAGCTAGTACACTCTGACTTGTGTGATCTTTTTAAAGTAAAGTCAAAAGGTGGTGCACTTTACTTTGTGACCTTCATTGATGATCATTCTCGAAGCTCTGGGTATATCCTTTTAAATCTAAAGATCAAGCACTTGGCGTGTTTAAGGAATTTCAGGCCTTAGCTGAGAGACAGACGAGGAAGAAATTAAAATGTGTTCGCATTGACAATGGTGGTGAATATAGTGGCCCCTTTGATAACTATTGCAAGGAACAAAGAATTCCTCATCAGAAAACTCCACCCAAGACCTCCTCAATTGCATGGTTTGGCAGAGAGGATGAATAGAACTCTAGTTGAGCGAGTTAGATTCTTGCTTTCAGAAGCTAAACTTCCAAATACATTTTGGGCGGAAGCACTTAACACTGTTGCCTATTTGATCAATTTGTCTCCTGCTGTTGCTTTGGATGGTGATGTCCCAGATAGAGTTTAGTTTACCAGGATGCTCCATTTGATGAAGTTGTGGTTGATCAGCAACTAATTCCTGCTCAGGTAACTACTTCGAATGCTTCTGAAACCTCTCTTAGAAGATGTACAAGGGAGACGCAAAAATCAATGCGTTATCCTGCTGATAAGTATGTACATTTGACTGACATGAGAATTATAATGAAGCCATGCAAGATACTCACAAAGATCAGTGGATCAAAGCCATGGAAGATGAGATGAAGTCACTGCATGAGAATGGCACATATGAGTTAGTGAAATTGCCGAAAGGTAAGAGAGCTTTATCTAACAATTGGTATCAGAGCGAGGTTCAAGACAGGTTCATCTTAGCGAGTTCAGTTTTAATCGCAATCTATTTTATATTAATCGTGATTTTTGTCTGAGAAATTTGACCGGAGTGATACGCACGTTGAGACAAACTTTGTGCTGGATATTTTGAGATGCGACCTGTTGAAGACTATGTGAAGAAGGTGGATAAAATTTATTTTGTTAGAAAATTCAGGCCAAGGGGGAGAATTGTTAGGTGTTGTCCTGATTTTCTTACCATATTTGGTTCTTCTATTTCTTGAAGGAAAGACAACATATTTACTATAATTGGATTTTCCTTTTTGTAAAAGTAAATTATAAATCTCTCATATTTGGCTAGTCCTTTTTCTTGTAGGAAAATGTTTGGACTTCTATAAATTGAGGATCCTACCTTCTTATTTAGCAGCCACAATGTAGCCATATGGGGTTGAGAATCGTGTTTAGGGGGAGAACTTTACGGGACAAGTGTTAGTGTGTTAGTTGTGTTTGCCTCTTCGTTTTTCGATATTTTGTACTCTCTTTTTATATAGTGGATTGCTCATCTCCAGCCGTGGACGTAGGTCAATTGAACGAACCACGTTAAATGTTTGTGTCTCTTTTGGTATATTTCTCTTTTATTGTCTGATTATTGGAGTTCAAAATTTGCGTTACTAATTTCCGCATGACACCTGATTTTTTCGATCTTAACTCTTACTTGCAGGACACCAACATTAATATCAATGCACTTATACAGAGGAAGGAGACTGATTGATTAAAATGAGAAAAGAAAATAAAAGAAAAAAGTTTAAATGACCCTCGGAAGAAAACCAATTTCACGGGATACTTTTAAAAAGATATCGGTAATTTGTAGTTCTTTAATTATGCAAGAAAAAGTTGGGAACTTATTAAGACACTTTAGAAAAATATTTCCTCTTCATACCTAAAGTGAGAGTACTGCTGCTTATTGTAATAAAGATTGTTACTAGTAATAAAAAAGCAGCCACCGTCACCGCGCGATCAGTTATTGGGAGTTGAGAGAAGGAAAAAGAGGGTATATATATGTCAAATAGGCCTATAGTTTGTCAGATCTCGGACACATGGGCGGAGCTAGAGTACCGGAAGCGAGTTCGACTGACCTCGGTAATTTTGATTCGAATTCTGTATTTGTTTTAAGAAAATCAAATGAATATATATAAATAATTAATTTAAAACTCAATTACTTAAAATGATTAAAATTTCGAACTCATAAATTTGAAATCCTTGCTTCCCTGTTTGGACACTCCTTTATATTAGTAGTTTATAATTTCCCATAACAAACATAATTGGACAACTTATAAACATTCCCATAACTCTTTTCTCTCCATCGCTCTCTGACATTTAATCTTTTCCCCTCCTCTTCTCGTTCTCATGGGGTTTAATTCTATTTTGTTGTATAGCCTCCCAATCTTTTGTTTATTCTTCATGATATGGAAGATTATAGATCAAAAGAGGCACCAAAATTGCTACATTTTGGATTACCAATGCTACAAACTAATCTATAAATAATGATATAGATATAGATAGATATATATAGAATAGATAGATATAGACGAGGGATTTGCTCATACTTTCTGAATCAATATTGTAGATCCTAAGTTCAACTTTCATAAGGTCAACTTTTATAAGGCCAAATGATTCATCAGTTGGACTGTTCTTCACAAAGTTATGGCCGCTCTACCAAACGTGTAGTGCGCAGTACACCATACCGATGACTGGCGCGGTTCACTAGACCAATGCTTCGAGCTCAATGGGACGCACTGAGCTTCGGAGGGTACCTGAAGAGTTCTCAAGGGCTATTATGCCTTGAGAAACAATATAAAAAGTCTTTTTTTTTTCTTTTTTTTTTTTTTTTTTGAGTAGTTTTTGCATACTTTCAGATTGATAAACGTCACTATAAGGAGTAAAACCTTTTCTGTTCGAATTGAACTTTGAAATTATTTTTGGGCTTGATTCTTGAGAGCAATTCTTTCTAATTCAAATATTTATATCTTTGCTTCTTTTTCGATGTTCTATGGTGACAAGTTTTTGAAAATTATTGTAAAATATTCCACACTAAATTTTTTTGCTTTTCCAATCGTGCGTTAATTTTTTTTAATTGGAACTGTTCACTATTCGAAATTTGCTGATCACCAACTATCACCACCACTGGCTTGTAAAAAATGCATCATCAAATGAACAATTTTTCTCAACAAAATATAATGAATTGAGATTTATCAAAATTTTGTTGATATATTATTTACTTGTTACACATTAGTTTAGATTCTATATATTTTCTAGTTTCAAATAAAGATGGATAAAAGCAAACCGGCTTACTTACTAAGAGGCCGTTTGGACGTACAAAATTTTGGCTTTTTTCCAAGAAAAAATTTGAAAACAATGTTTGGTTATCCATATCTTACCAATTTTTCAATTTCACTTGAAAATGTATTTTCAAATTTGAAAAAATAGTTCTTCAATTGAAAATGCATTTACCAGTTTTTCAATTCAAAATGCATTTTCACTAGTTTTTAATTTTACAAATTTACTCTATACTTTTAAAATTTATAAAATAACCCCATCAATTATTAACCTACAACTACCCACGTGTATCCCTTCGATTATCATATGAAGTTACTGCAGCAGATAATGAACCCTTTTCTTGTGACGACTACCATGTTGCTAAACAATAGCATGGTTGATTATTTATTTCAAGTAGTATAATTAAATTGGGACGGTTTTGATATTTTTTACAAGTTATGGGGTATGAATCATATTTTATGATTTTGCCAAAAAAAAAAAAAGACATTCAAATATATTGCAAAAATTATAACCAAACACAACTTTATCTTCAATTCAAATTTTAGTGAAATTCCAAATTTGAAAATTTATTTTGGAATTCATGGCCAAATTTATTTTGGAATTCAGATTTAGAGATAATATTACAATAATCAAGTATGTTTTAAGTTCAGATATCCTAATTTTAATAAAAATAACAGGGCCTAATTTACCGGGTAGGCCTATTAATAAAACACTCCCTACTGTAAGATTGACTCAAATTCGCGACACTTGCTTTAAATTTGATGGATCTCAACCACCTCATCGCACCCTCCATATTACGACCCATTGAGTTAACCCGCCATTGGTTGTCTTCATAAATTTATCCTTAACAGACTGTCATCTACCACGCCTTGCATTTCCTAAAAGTAGACGAATCAAACCGCTACATAAAGTTACTAGCAGGACACCAACATTAATATCAGTGCACTTATACAGAGAAGGAAACTGATTGATTAAAATGAGAAAAGAAAAGAAAAAAGTTTAAATGACCCTCAGAAGAAAACCAATTTCACGGGATACTTTTAAAATTTTTTCGATAATTTGTGGTTCTTTAATTAAGTAAGAAAATGTTGGGAACTAATAAAGAAACTTCACACAAATATTTCCTCTTCATACATAAAGTGAGAGTACTGCTGCTTATTGTAATAAAGATCGTTACTAACAAAAAAGCAGCCACCGTCACCCATCAGTTATTGGGAGTTGAGAGAAGGAAAAAGAAGTTATATATGTCAAAAAGCCTTATAGTTTGTCACATGTGGATCTTGGACACTGGGGCCGACCTAGAGTGATGAGAGCGGCTGATCCCAGTAACTTTAATTCTAACCCTATAATTGTCTTAATAAAATTAATTGTATATGTATAAATAATTAATTCAAATTTCAATAACTTAAAATATTAGAATTTCGAAACCATAAGTTTGAAATATTGATATCGCCTCTGCTTGGACACTCCTTTATATAATTAGAAGTTTATAATTCCCCATAACAAACATAATTGGACAACTTATAAACATTCCCATACTCTTTTCTCTCCATCTCTCTCTAACATTTAATCTTTTCCCCTCCTCTTCTCGTTCTCATGGATTTTAATTCCATTTTGTTGTATAGCCTCCCAATCTTTTGTTTATTCTTCACGATATGGAAGATTATAGATCAAAAGAGGCACCAACATTGCTACATTTTGGACTACCAATGCTACAAACCAACCGATGATCGAATGCTTAGCACAAGATTTTGTGGAGAAGTGATTAGGAGAAACAAGAATCTTGGCCTAAATGAGTACAAGTTTATTCTAAAAGCCATTGTGAGCTCTGGCATAGGCGAACAAACATATGCACCAAGAATGGTCTTTTATGGTCGTGAAGAGTGTCCTACTTATGATGATGGAATTTCAGAAATGGAAGAATTCTTCCATGATAGTATTGACAAGATTTTGAAGAGGACAAAAATTCTCCCTTCAGAAATTGATGTATTAGTGGTGAATATCTCAATGCTTGCAACTATGCCTTCGCTATCTGCTCGAATTATCAATCACTACAATATGAGGGAAGATATCAAGGTATATAATCTCACTGGAATGGGGTGTAGTGCAAGCCCTATATCGATAAATATCGTACAAAACATTTTCAAGATTCAAAAGAATAAACTTGCCCTAGTGGTGACATCTGAATCTTTAAGTCCAAATTGGTATTCTGGAAATGATAGATCTATGATTCTTTCTAATTGTTTGTTTAGGTCAGGAGGGTGTGCAATACTTTTGACAAATAAATTGTCTTTAAAAAACAAAACCATGTTCAAGTTAAAATGCCTAGTTAGGACACAACATGGTGCAAAAGATGAATCTTATAATTGTTGCATACAAAAGGAGGATGATCAAGGTAGGATAGGGTTTCATCTTGATAAAACTCTCCCCAAAGCTGCAACAAGGGCTTTTGTTGATAATTTGAAAGAAATTGCCCCAAAAATACTTCCAATTCGAGAGCTTCTTCGATTTGCAATTATCTCTACTCTGAGGAAATTCAACCAGAAGTACAAGGGTAAATTTGGACCTCGTCCCGTTATCAATTTCAAGACAGGTGTGGATCATTTTTGCCTTCATACTGGAGGAAAAGCAGTGATTGATGGAATAGGTGCAAATTTGAATCTAAGTGAATATGATTTGGAGCCAGCAAGAATGACATTGCATAGATTTGGTAACACTTCTGCTAGTAGTCTTTGGTATGTTCTTGGTTATATGGAGGCTAAAAAAAGGTTAAAGAAAGGTGACAATGTTTTTATGATTAGTTTTGGAGCAGGTTTTAAATGCAATAGTTGTTTGTGGGAAGTTGTTAGAGATTTGGGTGATGGAAATGTGTGGGAAGATTGCATTGATAATTATCCACCAAAAACTCTAGCAAATCCTTTCTTGGAAAAATTTGGGTGGATTCAGAATGAAGATCCTAGTACCTTTTATGTTCCAGATGACTATGTCATCCCTTGATCTAAAGGATTTACTTTAATTTAATTATAGTTCAATTTTTTTAGGTTTCTGGTGTGGGATTTTAATTTATTAGTACTTTTTAAAAAAAAAAAATATTTCATGTATGTAAATTGAAAATGTTCATGTATAGTTATTTCATTGGTGGATTCTTTGTTCAACAAGAATCCTTCTCTGATGAAATGTAAAGTGTGTTGTTTTTATGTTTGACTAATTTATCATTCTTTCACTTTTTTATTATTTGAACTTTAAGGGCTCTGATTCAAATCATATCTAATTTATCAAGCTCAAAATCTGTAATTATCCAGTGAGTTTTTTAAACATATACTATATAAAATTTAAGCCAAAACCATTGAATTGAGACGAACCAATAATTTATTGGAAAAATTTCACATAAGAACAACTGGGATCTCTACTTTTCAATTTTATAGCTCATATTTCAATTTACAACCAGCTAGCCCAAAAATAATAGGTTAAGATTCAACATGCAACTCCAATAGGTTCTCAAAATTACTATTTAATTTTTAAAAAAGATTTCTCAAGCTTTTAAGTTAATTTTCGAATCAGTAACTGTAACCCAAATATTAGTTCAACAAACCAAATCCATTTGGATAGTGAAAATTAGATTTTTAACAAGCTTAAATATATGAGTTTAGATTCCGAATTTGATTTGTGAGAAATTTGGAGTGGGTATTATCTAGAATTGTTAGAAATAATAGAAGGAGGTTGTATATAAAATTTGAAGTCATTTAATGGAGATTTGGACTAATTTTGAACAAGAGTTGCAACTAAAAATCGTGAAAGAAGTTCGTCCACAGACGCTTGTATAAAGCTGTATAAAAGTGTATAATAGTGTATAAGATGTGTTTATACACTATTATACAAGATTATACATAATTATACAAAAAACTGACTTCGTCTTCTTCCTTGCGTTTTTTCTGAAATTTAACTCAAATCTTGCTCAAATCTACTCCAAATCAGTTCAAATTTAAATTTTGAACTCCTTTTGATATTTTCAATCAATTGGAACAACACTCAATCCAAACAACTAACAAACTTAAAAAATCTTATTTTTCAAAGCCAAGCTTTGAATGACCTTCAATGGTGGAATGTTGAATCTTCAATTTTCTTACGTTACCACCAGGTGACATATGGGAGAAGTAGTAATGACGGACTGCTCTTGAAGCATATGTAGAAGATGTGAGAAGAAAAGAGAGTGAAAGCAATGTTTGTGAGAACATAGATTTAACTCCATAGTTTTTAGAAGCAATGATTGTAAGAAAACAAATTTCAAATTTGCTAGTGCTTTCAAAATATGTACAATATGGGCTAGATTGGGTAAAACTTAAAAATATGAGCCATTTTTTGTTATGGTGTGAAGCCAAGTGTATTTTCTTGTAATTCTTTCTTTATTTTATACCTCCTCTATTTCAATTTAGATGACACATTTCATTCATCGAGAGTCAGTTTGACTAAACTTTAAAGCTAAATTAAATTAGTTCAACTTATTATTTTAAAATTAAAATTAAGATATACAAAAACTATACAAAAATACCATAAGTAACAAAATATATTTTAAAATGTTGATCAAACTTCACGAGACTCTTGATAAATGAAATGTGTCATCTATATTGAAAGGAAGGAAGTAAACCTTTATTCACTTAAACATCATTACATTATATGTATTCTGCATTTAAGTTACTATATTTATGATTATATTATTTAATATGATGATCATACTGAATGCCAAATATTTTCCGACTAGTCAGGTTACTGTTACTTTTCTCTTCCCCCTCTATTTTCAGTTTACATACAAGATATATTATTATTTTTTAAACCATCAGTACTACTCCCTCCGTTTCAATTTATATGAGGTAGTTTGACTCGATACAGAGTTTAAAAAAAAGATAGAATTACAAGAAAATACACTTGACTTCACACCATAACAAAAAATAGTCCATATTTTTAAGATTTACCCGACCTAGCCCATATTGTACATATTTTGAAAGCACTAACAAATTCAAAATCTATTTTCTTACAACTATTGCTTCTAAAAGCTATGAAGTTAAATCTATGTTCTCACAACCATTGCTTTCACTCTCTTTTCTTCTCACATCTTCTACATATGCTTCAAGGGGCCGTCTGCCATTACTGCTCCTCCCCTGTGTCACCTGGTTGTAATGTAAGAAAATTAAAGATTCATCATTCCACCATTGAAAGTCATTCAAAGCTTTTGCTTTCAAAAATAAGTTTATTTTTTAGTTTGTTAGTTTTTTGGATTGAGTGTTGTTCCAATTGATTGAAAATATCAAAAGGAGTTCAAAATTTAAATTTGAAGTGATTTGGAGTAGATTTAAGCAAGATTTGAGTTAAATTTCAGAAAAAACGCAAGGAAGAAGACGAAGTCAGTTTTTTGTATAATTGTGTATAATCTTGTATAATAGTGTATATGAGTTTATAAACACATCTTATACACTATTATACACTTTTATATACCTTTATACAAACGTCTATAGACGAACCTCTTCCATGATTTTCGGTTGCAATTCTTGTTCAAAATCAGTCCAAATCTTCATTAAATGACTTCAAATTTTATATACAACCTCCTTATACTATTTCTAACAATTCTAGATAATACTCACTCCAAATTTCTCACAAAATCAAATTCGGAATCTAAACCCACATATTTAAGCTTGTTAAAAATCTAATTTTCACCACTCAAATGGATTTGGTTTGTTGAACTAATATTTGAGTTACAGTTACTGATTCGAAAATTAACTTAAAAGCTTGAGCAATCTTTTTTAAAAATTAAATAGTAATTTTGAGAACCTATTGGAGTTGGACGTTGAATCTTAGCATATTATTTTTGGGCTAGTTAGTTGTAAATTGAAATATGAGCTATAAAATTGAAAAACAGAGATGTCAATTGTTCGTATGTGAAAATTTCCCTAAAATAAATGTTTTATAGTATTCATTTACTTGTTATATATAAACACTGAGCACCAATAAATTTCTTTAGCTATCATCTGTTTCTCCTCCAATTGCTATGCGTGAGCTTCTATTTATTTCGAATACATGGTTTGGTACAATTAATATCCCAAATTGTCCCCACAATCTCAGTCAAAGCTAACCTGTGTTTGATTACATACAGAAACAGAACTGACTGGAAAAGCAGCTTGTAACCTACTTTTTCTGCCCAAATTTATGCTCCTCTTTCAAGGGTTTCACCTGTCATTGAAAACCTTTATAGCTTCCTTCGTTTAGAGGGAGGATCTAACCCTCTATTTGTATCATTGTTTCCCATCGTTTTATAATGTATTATATTGTACTGTATCGTATTGTATCATATCATTTTATGAATACAATGTTTGGATAGATTGTATTGTTTATTATTATTAAATAATATTTTGCTGTTTGGTTTGACTGTATTGTATTGTAACTGATAAGTTTACTAAAATACCCTCAATTATTTAACTATTAAATTTATCAAAAGTTATGCATAAAAATAATTTAAAAAACAAAATAGAAGAAGGCAAAACATCTTAAGAAAGCAGAACAAAGGAGTGAGACAGAAGAATGCAAAACAAAGAAGCACATCTAATTAGAATTAAGTTAAAAGCAAATTAGGAGAAAAAATAAATAGAAGGCGGCAAAACACCTTTTAACGTTGGCAGCAGAAGTTTTGGAAAAAAATAAAGTAGGTCATATGTTGGAGATTTGGAGTTAAAATAGCAAAAAAAAGCTAAAGGTTAAATAGAATTGTGGAGTAATAAGTTAGGGCATAATTGGAAAGAAAAATAGGAAACAATCCCACTACACCAAATCGGTTGTTTCAAAAAGGGGACTTTTTATTGTTCCGGAACAATAGATTTAACAATACAATACAATCAATTTTAATGAAACAATCAAAACAAACATTGTTTTGGGTTAACAATACAATACGATACAATGAGGAACAACTATCCAAACAAGTTGTAAGTGGGCATTTGAACGTAAGAATTGTAAAATTCCAAAATGGTATTTGAAAATTACAGTTGTGTTTGGACATAAATATAATTTTGGGTTGTTTTTAAAGTTTTGTGAGTGATCTGAGTGAAAATTTTGAAAAATAATTTTTTGAAGTTTTTTAAATTTACGAAAAATTCAAAAATTCATCTTCAAGTGAAAATTAGAAATTTTTTGGCCAAACAATGATTTCGAAGAAAAAGTGAATTTTTTTTGAAAAAAGTGAAAAAATTCTTATGTCAAAACGAACTATAAATTTGAAATTTACGAGTCTTGAATTTGCCTTTAAATTCATACTTAGCTTATTTTGGTTACTTGGTCAACAATATATATATATACACACACACTAGGCGAGTTGATGCCCGTGCTATGCACGGGCCCAATATTTAAGTTTAGGTAAAAGCCGTTTATATCAAATAAATTTTATAATTCTTAAAATAGCAAAATTAATGTTTTACCAGAGATAAAAAAGAGGTTAATATTTTATGTTATAAATCTTGCAAACTCTGAATGTGATAAAGGGACTGATCTTACAATACGATATATATAGTGTAAACTCTCTTCTTACAATAGGAAGTTCATATAATTTCTAAATTAAATTCCACATGTATCAGCATTGGCGGACGCACGTGGTGGCAAGCGGGTTCAGTTGAACCCACTTCATCAAAAAATAATATTGTGTATATATATATATATAAATTACGAATAAAGTTGCATAAATTTTATACAAATATTTTATTTGAACCCACTTGACAACTACCATTTTACGACTAAAGTTATTTACTTCTAAGATTGAACCCACTTACATAAAATCATGGGTCTGCTACTGTGTATCAGACAAATTATTCTTGTTTATATTAAGTTTATGTGATGACCCAAAAGGTCATCACTTATTTTAGAAATAAATTCTGTGTTCTGAGGCCTTAAAAACCTCTTTTCGTATCAACTCAATTTACGTGCGCAGTCCAGGTGCGTAGCCGGAAAGCCATTATATAAAAATCTGTGAAAAATGATAAAATTCGCCTTTAAAATGAATTTAAGTTGACTTATGTCAACATTTTGGGTAAACGGACCCGGACCCGTGATTTCATGGTCCCGAAGGATCCGATAGAAAAATATGGGATTTGGGCGTATGC